CTTTATTGTTCTCCGGTAGTTTTTGCTGGTCTACTAAAGAAAGACTTCAAAATTCTTCGTTGCGGTTTGTCGATCATCAGTCGTGTCTTTTATACCCGTTGACGAGCTATCTAAAAAACTGTGTGAACTTCACTTGTCCGCATGTGAAACGTTTGCCCAGAAAATCCTCGCTGACCCCAACCATNTTTATCTAAATGCTACTCTCATACGTTCTTCTTATCGATTATTACCCTCTCGCATTAGTCTCTACAGAAATTCCCCAGTTCCCTATCTTGCCAGAATCCTTGTAAACCGAGAGCGCGCTTCCTCAGAATTTCTCAGTAACCTTAAAGGCTGAATATTTTATTTGTATCTTTCCTTCTATTGATGAGATGTGTAAATTTTTGACTGAAATGCGAACATTCTGTTCTCGCAAAAGTCTAAACAAATAAAAATACAACTACAATTGTTTAGTAGATAAATCACTGAAAGTAAGCTTATTGGCCAGATCGTTGTTCTTCCCAATAAATCTTTCCCAATTAATCAAGCTGTTAATTTTTTATCGGTACAAGCTCAAGCACATGATTGTTTACCCCTGTGTAACTGATCCACAAGGTATGACCCATCTGCACATAACATGGAAGACTCTCGCCAAGAAAACTGACCTTGGTTATGAAGTACGCTTGTTGTCTCCCTGCCGTGTGAGTGATTGAAGTGGTCTTATCCTACGGGAAAACACAAGCAACGAAGCGACGCGTTACACCTTCTGGAGAACGAACCACAGGTCAATCGTACCAACCAAACGGAAATTGTGCGGTTCAGACAGAAGTTGTATTACGTCAAGAATACCAGCAAGCCATTGGTGGAGAACTGTATAGCCAATAAAATTCCATTGCGCATGTTATTTAATCTCATTAATTTTCCTTAATAACCGAACTGCTCCTCCTCTGACCTTTTTCAAGCGTCTCGGTGACGAGAGATTCCAGTGTACGATTGCTGGTACGATTCTGTGCCTCAGTTCCGAGCGTGATTCGTGTTCCATAATCCATACTGAGTTTGATTACTATACTGATCTTCAGTTTTTTTCACGGGATAGCTTATCGTTGATGAGACTGAATAATGTTGACACAGCTGTACAAATCCTCATAACATTTCAATTCGTGTTTGCTGTGTTCTGCACACACACACACACACACACACACACACACACACACACACAGATGAACTTCCTTGTTTTCAATTATGTGAAATCCCACACTCCTCTTCTCATTTAATCCACAGCTGCTGTACCCATTTCTTTTGTCCCCGAACGGGCCGTGTTTTGGCAACATGAGAATCTAACGTGTATATCGCACGCGACCGATCAACGTTTCCAACCCTACCTGGTGATCGTGGATCACCCGGACAATTTTCGACCACAACTGAACTATTCGGTACTGCAATTTCACGACTTGCCACCAGGTCAGTATGAGGTGAAATGCTACTACTTTGCTCCCAGTGCCGGGAAACGTGTGTTGCGGAAAAAGATTCACGTTGCAGGTAACAAACGCAGTTTTTTTGTTTGGTGGCAGTTCAGTTCAGTTCACTTTGTATAAACATTAATCATGAACTTTAGTGCGCCGGTTTTGGCTGCCACCTGGATGAAGAATAGGAGAAAGACAGGAAAGTTGGAACTAGAGTCGAGCGGAAAATGGAGAATTTCAGTGACCTAAGGTTGCAAAGAAATTGAGAAGATCCTCGAAAGCCACTGTTTACAACACTCAGCCATATCACTCAGTGTCTCCAACCATCGGTTACGACCATCCCTAGGTCTACATCCAGGGAGCCTAACGAGATCTATGTGACCCAGACTCCTGGTTAGGGTTTTCATACCTTCATGCCAGGTCTTAGTTTGACCACCCGTGGCTTTCTTCCTACCACTACCTGCCTCGGTGAACATCGCTCGTCGTGGCAACTAATTTGGTGACACACATGTTCACACACACACACGTTCCAAACATCGTAATCTATGAAGGTCAATCACTTGCTCCGGTGGACGACCGCGGTTGCCTAAAACTCTGCGCCTAACCTCAGCATTGCTCGTCCGGCTGCCCCACCAGATTCGTTCAATGCTGTGTAGAGGTGTTCAAACACCGACAGTCTGTCTTTATCCTGTTTTCTTAATGGTCAAGTTTCTGCACCGTATAGCAGAACTGGCCGAACTGCCGAGGCATACACTCGACCCTTCACAGACAGCCGGATGTCACAACGGCGCCACAGATGTCTCAAGTTAGCAAATGCCAATTGAGCCTTCTGTGTGCGAGTTAACTATTCATTCGTGATATCGGAGGAGGGAGTGGAGTTCGGTTTCTACAATGTTACATTCGATTCCGTTCATTGCGCAATACAGATCGTCCATTTGGAAAACTGAAATTTTGAGATAAGCTCGAAGTAATTTTGAGAATACAAACAGAACGGTAAAATTAAAAAATTTCAGTGAAATTGTAGTGAACGCTTGTAATCTTTATTAGTGATTTTTCCGTTGTGGTAAGTGATCTCTTATCCATGCTTCTTAGTCTACGTGTTTTATCTTCATGAATGAACTTTTGGATTCTCTCATCATCGGTACTTCAGTGACTTTTAACACAAAACAAAAGTTTGGACCACAGTTTTATTGGGATTGTAATTTGGATGGATACATTGGAGAGTCAGCCCATACGACGATAGTGATTCTGTGACATTTTCATTTCCAATATTTCACTGTTCCGATAGACTAAAACTGCGGACTCTAGTTTCTGAGTTGCTGCTAAATGCTGCTGATTAAACAAAACTGATGACGCTGCTCCTGGTGTGAACCGATCAATGACAATGGTGTTTTCATCTATTTTCGTTTCGGTAGAACATTAGTTAAATCCATTTTGTCTGTGATTCAGCAATGACTTCAAGGGAACCGGGCTGATTCGTATCACGAAGAGATGCGTCAAAAAACCCGAGCAGAAATGGGATCCTGGACAAGAAGATCATTGTTATTGTTCATTCTCTGCGAATTGAACTGGTCATTTGGTTCCAATGAATACAAATGAAAAGCTTTCAGTTAAATAACTGATTGACTTATTGATCCGTAGGTGATCAACTCGCTTCAGCTGAATGGAATATCGTACCAGATCCTTCGCCTCTGATGCAAAGGGGTTGTTAGTTCATACCTCTGATGAGCCGTTTAGGCACGCATTAATGCTTAGGTATAATCAGAGTGAAACTTGAGTCTGGTGTTTGCCGCATGTGCGGTTGACTGGATTAATTGGCGTTCAAATGCGGTGCATGTGTTTGAGATAACCGTAAAAGAACACTGGACAGCTGTTGCGTCCTTTTTGAGACTCGTCAGCAGTGCGTACTTTTCGTGTCCCTGTCAGGACTCGAACCGCGAACATTTTGGTCGGGACATTTCCACCGCATTTAAATGTATTTAAATAGTGGGGCATTAACGATCTCCCTAGGATTGAAACCCACCCTAAACATCAACAGTGTTTGGTGCCTTTGAAAAACCGAATGGGCTAATCCAAACATTTTCACCATCTAAATTAACTGGCGTTCATTTGTGACGATGAAATCTTATGAAATAATGGAAGGAAAGTGCGACACAGTCACTGGGGCTTTTTGTTTGTTTACGCCAAATAGCAACATGAACTTTGTAACACTGGGTGAGGAAAGACCCAAAACCTCGAGTATAATAAACATGGTTTCTAGGCACACAACAGCAAGACTGTTCACTACGAGTTTCCAACCACTGATCAGATTGAACCAATACATGGCGAAATCATCAAGTTTCCTCAACTTGACATTCTAAAAGGGGACATGCTTATGTTTATTACATACGCCTACCGATTGAGTTTGAGAAGTAACCCATAAATACTCAAAATATTAAAGGTAAGGTTCATAACTGTAGATTGTACTCCTATTAGGACAATGGCCATTAGAACATTGTCGCATTGTTTGCGTGTTCGAACCCTGCCAAATTGATTATCGCTTTACAAGCAATAACATGCAATCTTTCAAATACCGCATATTATTGGTATAATGTTGGTAAAGCAAATCAATGAAAATGACGGAAACCCGAAGGCTCATGGTTCGAGTCCAGCCCGGAACAGAAGCATGGGACGCACTGTCGATAAGCCTCAACAGTGGTTCAATGCTCTTTGAAGGCCATCATCAACAAAATTTCATCTAATCTAACATGATTATTAACATTATCACGCCCGCATTATTGTTTTTCCCCTGCAGTTCCACCCACTCAATTAATATCCCATCAGTATGTGAATAGTGCGGGACTGACTGCAATGCGGTGTCTGGAAAATGGTTATCCCAAATCCGAGATCACAGTGACATGGACAGTCCCTGACACTGTGTGGTGTTGCGAACAGCATGGCAACGAACTGGTCATATCCCCTCAGGCGATCTATGGACAGTACGCAGTGAAATGTCAAGCCATTCTACAACATCCACTCATGACACTGAATTTATCTCTAGAAACACGTTTCGGCGCGATCGGTAAGTTCGGAGGTTTTGCAACACAAAAATTATCCGACTCATCGAAAAAAGCTTTGCCAATTGTCCAGGGTCAATAGCACGATACTGTCCCTTATTCATCTTGTGCTCAGATAACGTTACGGTCTACAGTTTACCGAAACATTCGACGTGCTGGCCTGATTGGCTGATCGGTCGATGCTACCTGATAACCATACACGCACGCACACGCGCACGCCATGCGGCCTTGCTCTAATATAACATCAATCCGCTCCAGACAATCAGCTGTTAGTATTGAACTGTCCGCGTTGATTGATTCGTTGACCTCTTGACTGATCAGCTTGACCGCATTCTGGTGTCATGTCATGTGGAAGCAGTAGAGGAAGTAGACTAATTTTACTATCTGGGTAGCTATATCTCACCTGGCGGGCGCATCACAGACGATGTGTCGGTGCGCATACAGAAGGTTCGATTATAATTTGCCAACTTGAAACATGCGGCTGTCCGTGAAGAATCACGTATATGCTGCAGCAGTTCGGCCAGTGCTACTGTACGGTGCAGAGACTTGGGCACTAAGAGAACAAGATAAAAGCAGACTTTTGGTGTTCTAGAACCGCCGTATACGTTGCATTGCACGAGTCAGGTGGGGAAACCGAACGAGCAATGCTGAGGTTAGGCTTGGAGTTTTAGGTAGTCACTTTCATCCTCCATGCATTAAGCTGGTTGGGCCATGTGTTACGCATGTCACGAGATAGGCTAGCGATGTTTGTCGATGCAGGTGGCGGTTGGAAAAAGATCCAGGGCGGTCAAATGAAGACCTGGTATGAGGGTATGAAAACCCTAACCAGGAGTCTGGTTTACGCGGGTCCCGTTAGGCTCCCTGGCTGGGAACCCAGAGATGATGGTCACCGATGGTTAGAGACACTGAGTATTATGGCTGGGTGTCGCAAACAGTGACGCTCATGCATCTACTCATTACTCTCTTAACACTAGTCTATATGAATTTGCTCTCAACATTCCCATCTTCCATTTGCTCTTTTATCCAAATGGGCGGCTGAAAGGCAGCAACTAAAACAGGCACACGAAAGTGCATGGTTAATGGTTGTAAAAACTTAACTGAACTTATGAAGTGTTGAGTATATGCTCCAGCGGTTCAACCTGTGCTACTATAGGGTGCGGAAACTTGGCCATTAGGAAAACAAGACTGCCTACGCCG